CGGAGAGCGTAGAGAGTTTTAATCGGCGTTTACTGGTGGGAAACCGGCGCGGGGATGATCCGGACAAAAGTGTCAGGTAGCGCAGTGCAAGAAAACAGGCGTCCTGCTCGCTGGGGGATTTTTCCCCTTCCCTGCGGACTGGGTGCACTTGCGCTAATCGGTATTAAAACGATGATGACGATAATACCTGAAAAATCTGCTTATTGTTGCAGATGGGCCAGAAAGCTAGGGGAGAGCTTTTACGTAATTAATTGCTCGAGTTGTTTCAGAAACACCGCTTCTAACTTTAGCGGGCTTGCGGACAGGAGCAGCCCGTAGATAGAGCCTGTCCTCTCCTTGCTCGTTCTTCACCCTCAGCTCCCTATTTGTGTTGTGGAGGCGGGGGGGCAGGGCAGTGTTATTTGTTTGTTTTAAATCTAGATTAATGCCGTGGTTTTAATACAAACCCGAACCTGTCTTCAGAAGTTGACATCACTGAGGAATCTGCCAATTGGTTGACGTTTAACCAACCTTCTTTTTACACATAAACCCCATCAAAGAGTTGTTTACACTAATGTTCTTTTGAAATGCAAATCCAGAATGCCAACAGACTGAAACTCAATTTAGATTAATGTAATTACCTGCAATACATAAATGAGGCCGAACTATTTAATAGCCTTCACTTAAACCTTTTTAGAAGATCAAAAAGACTCCTATTGTTGAAGTTTAGTACTACAACAGTTAAAAGATGCCTCTCTGCGATTTTTTTGTGTTACCTTCATAACTTTGTAGAAGCTTGTGGTTTTGCTTTGGTACTCTGAAATTAAAATATCTGAAAGAATTACAATTCGCATTGAAAAAGTATAACAACTCTGTGACACGTTGGGTGCACGTCTCGTAGGGAGGGGTTTTTTTGCTGCTTTCTTACAAAATTATTTTTCTTCAGAAAAATAATTGTCTCTCTTTTTGTTTTAGGCTTTAAAGAAATCAATGCTCCAACTATTACCCCACCTCTCAATCAGCCCAAAAGATCAAAAAAACGCCATGCAAATTTAACGTTGGATAAAATGATGGAAAAATTCCTGCAGCAGAGCGTGGACACGGAAGAGAAATTTTACAGATACGAAGAGCAGAGGCTCAAAATTGAGGACAAGCGTCGGGAAGCTGAGCATGCTCGAGAGCTCCAGATGTTACAGATGTTGGGACAGATGTTGGCAGGAATTTCTTCTACGGTATCACAAAGGTCACAATCTATACCAGCGAGTCCACCTCAGAGAGCGAACCATCGTTCATATGGGGATAACTTTAATTATAATGCTATGACAGCAGCACTTTCTCCACCGATAGGTACTTCCTTCTATAGCATAAATAAAAGCTATTTTTTTTTAAACTCCTGTGTGAAAGCACTGGTACTAAGTAGCTTTTGAAAATAAAAGCTAATTGGAATTATTTAATATTGTGGTGAAGGTGTCTGTCTGATGTAAAATGAAATTAAAACGTCATTCGTACCATTGTACTGATTATTTAATATAGATACATTAGTTATGACAGATTTTAATAAGCAAAATCACACCTTTTGAACCCTGTAAACATGGGGGACTTCTTTCCACATTCACGTCTCTGTAAACTGAAGTTAGGAGAAGTTTTGTATATAAAAGGCAAGCAGCACATTTGCTGAAAGCTATCTGGAAACATTAGGTACCTTGTAGCGGAAATTCTGCTGCTGTTGAAGTTAATGGGCCTAACCCAGTATGTGAAGTTAAGTCTGTGCATATGTTTTTTCAGGGTTGGGAAAAGGGTGGAGTTTTGCCTACGCTGAAGTAAGTCAAATGTTAAAATCCAGCTTCTTTAAAATAAATTTCCTGCAATCAAAATTCTGAGTCTTATCTTTTAATTAAACATCATATTATTGTAGTAGGTGTAGTAGAAGACGAAAATGCAGGCATGTGTTTTTCTTCTACACCAGTTTGTTTATAAATGCTTTGGGCATCTGAATTTATTTTAAAGAAAAAGGCAAAGCAGTAACTCTAGAGTTGGTATTTATGCACAGACTTTTCCTTCTGTACCTGATTTGTGGGCCAGAAGCTGATAATCAGATATTAGCATTCATTAACAGACTTCTCAGGATCTGTGGCTCCGTGTCATTTATCTTTATCGTAGTGTCTTTGTGCATGGAGGTAGACTGCATGGGCAGGAGGAAAACAGGGATACTCTATCGGTGCTGGAACCAGAGTCAGCTTGAGGCTCGGTGGTTGTAGCCTGCCACCTGGAAACGAAACAAGTCTTGTTCTGTTTTAATTCTGAATTTCACACTGCTTGGAAGAAAAAAAGTGTGATTTGAAAAGGAAAAAAAAAAACCACCCAGCCTCAGCGTTGAATAATAATCCAGCATGCCAGATCCTAAAGGGCATTCTCCGATTCCTGAGAGGATCTTGGAGCCTTTTCAGTGCTGCGTTACATACTGCGTTTCCCTGTAAAATGCGTGGGGGACTGCATAGTTAGGTCTGTTGAGGCTTTAGGCTGGCTGACTTGGTTTTGTTTCTTCTTGAGTGGATAGTTGGTCTGTAGCATTCTTCGATGGCAGCAGACTTCTGTAGATAACTTATGGCGTACGTATGGATTCTGTGTTTTAAATGTTGTTTTCACTTTTAAATTAAAAGGAGACCTGAAGTGCTTTAGAAAAAGGGAAATCATTTGGGGTTCTAGACTGGGGCGGTGGTACCCACAAGGCCTTGCCATTACTTCTGAAAGGTTTTTTGCTAAAAGAGTTTCCTTATCTGTAAAGATGTGAAACTAAAGTTCAGTTTTTCCTGCTGGATTTTATCATAGAGGAGTGCAATCATATTACACTGTGCAAAAATGCGTTCTATATATATTTAACTGTAGCAAGAACAACTCGGGATTCTAATCTTTTAATTGGTAAAGGTGTAACAAAGCGTTTATAAGATGTGAAAGTAATGCTTCAGGCAGCACATCTTTAAAGGAATTAAGATTTCAGTTGTTTATAGCTAAATGTGCCTTAGTGTTTCTCTAGGTAAGTGGGACTCTATTAAGAATTGCTCTTTGCATAATTCTCTGTTTTCTCCCCATTTATTAAGCAATCACTTCATATTTACCTATAAACAAAAAACAGCAACAAAGAAAGAGAGGACCTTCGTAACAACATTGCATTTTAAGGGTCACAAGCTATATGATAAGTATATCTCTTGTGTGGTTGAAAACCAGTGAGTGTATGAAGTGTGATTTAAAGAAAATAATCTGCCCTATTTCCAGGGGAGATGAGCTGGGTTTGTTCTCCTCTGGGTCACTGCAGTGCTATTTTGGCTATAATCCAAAACAGGGTGGTTGGGTTTTTTTTTTCTTCTCTTTTTTTTTTATCTCAATAGGAATGGGATGCCTGTATTATAGAATGATTTTAAAAGCAAAAGATCAGCCAGGAGTATTTACCATTATTGAACACTGAAGCATATTATTACTGAAGATTAGTGCATCTGGTTTAAGTTTAGACTCTGTGGAGGACACAGAAAAAGATGCTTTTGGCTGATAGCGCGCAGATGCGGAGTTTTCTTGTTTATTACATCATTTTTTCCCCATTATTGTGTCTAAAATTTCTGAAGAGTTTTTCCTCTTCCCTCCCCCTGCCCCTAGATTTTGGAGTTGGGGCAGGGGGGAATTAGTCAATTTTATACAGCTGAAAATAAGGAGTATCATGGGAGTTAGTTTTACATAATTATGTATTACTATATAGTAGTTCCTTAAAGCTTTTTAGAACATCTGTAAAAAAGAAAGTAAGCACAGCCACGGTCTAGCAGGCTAATACTAACATTCAAATAAACCGCTATTCTGAACAGAATTGTACAGTTAATGAGGAGCTTTGTTGAAATAGAACTTACTCTTTTAGTGTATTTACTGCAATATATATATTTAACACATCATTGATAGAAGTACTGATCTTCAGGTTTGTCCCATGTTAGGTGAAAGGTTTAATTCTCTTTAGTTGTAATTTTTGAAATACTTTTTTCTTCTAAATTTCTGTGGTCTTTTGAAACAGTAATTTGAATATCTAGCCTTCCGAGTATGCAGTTGTTTTAATATGTAGCTTTGCACCAGAGATCTGTAGCTGTATTGTAGCTAAGTATTATCTTTGTGTGATATTTGTAATGTTTGCACCTAGTGTGTTGGATTATAGTTTTGCAGAAAGACTTTCATTATGCTTTGTAACCACCTGCCAAAATAAAAAAAGCAGTGAGATAGGCCCCGATTCTGCTAAGAGGTGGAAGTCTTTAAGGGGAAGCGAAAAATAAGGTAGGGTGTATGTTTAAAATGTGGGTTTAGTTGCTCTGTGCTTGCTCTGTGTCTGGATGTGTTTAGTCCTTACTAAGTGTACCTATTTCAGTTGAGCTTAATTATGGAAGTGATTTTAGGCTGAACTAAGAAGATATTTCTAGTTACAAAATGTTCATATAACTCTTCTGGGCTGTTGTTTCTTTCTGTACCTGAGCCCTAAATTAGGACTGTGAGCAGTCGGTGGGAATATTCTCTGCATCAGACCCTAAGTTCATTTTTAAAATGACCACCTTCCCTAGTTACTCACTGTTTTAAAGGCCTTTAAGTGATGAAGCATTTGTTTTTTAGAAGTATGTCATTTTATATATCTTTGAGTGATTTTATTAGCGTTTATGAGTTCTTAAAAGAAATGCTGATGGTAGTTGAAGAAAGAACATGCTTTAAAGTAACACTTATTTTCTTCTTTTCAGTTATAGAGAGATCTTTTTCACTGCACAGAACACACTCTCTAAAGGATATGGAGAATATTTTTCAACTGGTGCGCAATGTTATCCCTCCTCTAACAGGGAAAAGGCATAAAGGTCAAGATGGACGTATAGGCATTGTTGGAGGATGTCAAGAGTAAGTTAAACAGAAGTTTGGGAACTGCATCTCTTAAATTGGGAACAGAATATTTCCTTACTGTGCGCTTTTTATTTTGATAAACCGTGGTGCTTACTAGATTTCTCTCAATACCTTCTTTTATGTTCTGGAGTAAAATAGCATGATTCAGGGAAAAAAGAGGTAGAGCATAAATCAGTTAAATGCTGTACTGACCTAGAAATAAACCAGGCTCTATTCTTTTCTTGGCCACGTTCAGTAATCTGCACAACACTTTGAACGAGCCACTACACCTTCCTGGTTTTCATTTTCCTCTTGTGAAATAGAGGTGGCATCTTCCTCCTGTAAGAGAGATCCGCTCTTGGACATCTGCCATTAATAAACATTCTATAAAGAGCAAAAAGGTGCTGTCTTATAGCTGTGCTGATTAGCCAGGAGTTAGTTTTGCTGTTGGTCTAATGGGCTTAGGTTCTTGCCTCTTGGCAGAAGGCAGCACCTCTGGAGGGTGATTCTGTCCATATCTCTCCCTTCAGTCTTCATAAAGAGAATTTAGGGCAACTGGAATCACAGTTTAGGCACTTTAGTTAGGTATCTAAAACCAGATGGGATTGATCCGGGTCACAGATCCTAGACTTGCCTTGCAAACAGCGCTTGACTCTTGTTTTTTGTTTGTCTCTAAACTTTTAAGCTGGTTGTTTGAGAAGAGTTTGCTTTTTTATGGCATGATCTTTATAAATATTTCTGTGAAAGGGTCAGGTGGCTAAGGTAAAATCCTGCGCCTTTGAAATCAAAGCAAGATTTGAGATTGGCTTCAGTATAGCAAGATTTTATCTGTCTTTTACAGCAAACGAAAGAGAAAGTTGGGGTGGGGGTCAGTTTGCTCTTGAATTCATTATGGCAGGCTGATTTCCAGATTATCTAATCTCATGACTGTGTTTTCTAACCTAAATTGTATTTCATTCTAGATACACTGGAGCACCGTATTTTGCTGCAATTACAGCTCTCAAAGTGGTACGTGTTCTTCTATACCGATCCAAAATGAACTTTTCATCGTTTATATTGGCCAAGCACCATTTTTTAAAAGCACTCATTCTGTGCTGCACATGAAATTTGAGTTCTAAAACGTCTTCAGTTTAACTAAGAAAATACTTAGTCCTGGATTTGTAAAAATACTTTGTAAATATGTGTCATTTGCTATGTTTTCTGTAAATATTTTCTCTGTATAAGGTGAAGTTAGACATAACATCAAAAAAATTGAAAATTTAGAGGGAGAACTGTTTTATCAGAGGCTTGGATAGGAAATTTCAAAACTTGATGAAATATTTTCTCCAAAAGTGAACAATAAAGTAAATCTAGATTAAAGTTTAAAGTTACGTTTTCAGTGCTGCAGTCTGTTCTTCAGAAATTTTTTTCTGGGCCTGATAAGTGTGTTGAATGAAGTAACTTCCTTTCAAAACTTACAGCTTTAGGCTAGTAAAATTCTTACGTGCTGTAAGTGTAAAGATTGTTCATTGAGTTTAATGTAACTTCTAATAGCACATTTTATTTACTTTATAATCTTTAGCAGAAGTATTTTCTAAGCTTTTTTTTCCTGGAAGTGTGAACTTCTTTATTTTAGTGACATATGAACTGGCTAAAAATATATTTACTGCAGACTACATAAATACAGTTGTGATTATTCAAATGTAAACAAATCATGCTTACATAATACATACACTTTTCAGTACTCTATATAGTGTGTCGGTACTTTCAGTTCATGGTGTATGTTCTTCTTTTTGAAGATTTGTTTCAATCAGTAGGTAACTGATCCAGGTACTTCCACACACCACCACCTCCCGCCCCAGGATGCAGTCCCTCAAGGATTTAAAAACTGAAATGATACTATTTAATGATCTTGTATAAGATAATAAGGCCACTCAGCTTTCTGTTCACTAAGTGCAAATACGGTAGCATACTAGGGGGTCCCCTATTGAAGTCACTTGGTCTCAGATCATTCCATCTGCACATAAAGAGTCATAGGATCAAATCTCCGCGTTGCTTAGTAGCTTGAAATGTTAAATGTGTAGTGGTAAAGCAGAGGAGACATTTTCTTAACCTTGGGAAATTTCAGTATGCAAGACAGATAGATCAGGCTTTCTGGTCACTGCTTACATAATTTTTATGCGGATGTCTGATTTTTTTAATTGATAACAGAAGCTGGAGGCTAAACTCACCAGCTTTAATGTTTATTTAACTTAAGGTGTGTTGTTGAAATTGTGCCAGCCTTTATCTGATACAGATTTGGCCCATTGAGTAAAAATGGTAGGGCTGGAAATGTACTCAACGATTGCCGTAGCTATATTTTGCCAGTATATTACAGTATTGTTTTTCCTCCCTAATGTAGCTTGTCTCTTGTTCAGCTGTGTTCTTTTGCTGTTCTTCTTATTGTATATGTGACTTTTCATTCTTTGCTCATCTGCAAATGAGAAACATTTCTCAAGTGAGTAAATGTTCAAGATCTGTGTTTTCAGTCATCCTGTTGGTGAGAAACAGAAAAAAAATTATATTGGAAGTTAGATACAAAAAAATTTTCTCCAAAACAGTGAGTGGTAGCCTAAGCCAAAATAGAAAAAATAATAAAGTTTGCTTTAACTACTGAGAAGTAAGAATGCAGGTGAATTATTCACTGAGTAAACTTTGGAATGATAAAGTTATTATTAAGTATAAATTTGATAATTCTGTTTGCAAATTTTCTTTTTTAGGGTGCAGATTTATCCCATGTGTTTTGTACCAAAGATGCAGCAACAGTAATCAAATCATATAGTCCAGAGCTGATTGTTCATCCAGTTCTGTAAGTGACTTATCTTTTGTTTAAATGAGCAAGACAGGATTACTAGTTTGAACGTTTCGGTCTGACATTTGATTAGTTTGCGTTATTTCTTTTTCTGAGTTACAGGATGGGTGAGCTGGAGATGACAAAAACTCCTTGGTTTGTCCTTTCATTAGAAACAGTTAGATATTTAATATAGAACAGTCAGTTGTGAATTTTTTTTCATTACTGTCAAAGTACAATTTTTTAAAAAGCAAAGATCTTGCTTGCCACTACTTGCTGACATGTGTTCTGTGATTGTAATGCATTTAACTGTGAACAGTAGCAAAATCCAGAACTAAGAATCACTACAAGTCAGCATTTTAGAATCTGCATTTGAAAGGCAAATAGAGTATGTTCTCTTGCTTCTTCAGTCCTAATAGTATTTAACAGTAGCGTTATCTTTTTTCCTGTCACTGCTGCGTATATAGTCATTTATGCAAAATTCCTAGGCAAGAGAGATGCTGATTCTCATTTTTCTTCATAAATGTGTTGCATTAGATACACACCTATTCCTGGGAATCAATGGATGTTCTAAAATGATCTAAAATACAGGGTTTATTAAACTTTTCATCATCTTAATAAGCAACTGTCCTAATAGGGAGAATCAGCGTGTGCTTCCCTGAATTTGTGTTCTGAAATATGTTACTGATTGGTGAACTTTTACAGGATAAATTATTTCAAGTAGGTGTTGTGATGGTTTACAGTAAGCACTGCAAATGAGAATTAACATGTGTGTCTTGGGTATATGTCACTGAGCTTAGCTTGCACCAGTGCGTGTCAAAGTCTGTTGGTGTACATAGCAAAGCTGTGATTAAGCTAGAAAAAGCGTAATTTAAAATCGTGTTTGTCAGATACTGCTGTCAGGAAGGATTTATGACAGTAGAAATATTTTGGTGTCTGAGAAGAAGAATATGATCTCCCTTATGGGGACGCCTGCAGTTGGAAGCCATAAGTTTATTACATTCTGAAGGTGGGTTTCATTCCTGTCGGTGTAGAGAGATGCTTAGAAAGAATCAGTTAAACAGACAGATGCCAAGGGTTGTGTTTTGGTTTTTTTCAAAGGTAGAAGAAATCCATGACTTTGTGGATTTTAGACAGGGAAAAAATGATGTTTGAAAGCAAGGGGAAGATAGAAGGGTAGGATTTTTACCAGTCCGACTGCGTTAGCCTCTAAAATCCAAGAGGCACATCTTCAGTTGATGTTCTGTCTGGTATCGTACCATAGCAAATGAGATGGAGAATCTTAATGGCAGTATTACGTCGTAACTTAGGGTGTTTTGATCGATGACACTTGGGATACAGCATATGGTTGTCTTGTATGGGAAGGAGTTGACTTTGCCTTGGGAGAAGCATTTTTCGTATACACAGGGTTCTTGATGTCTGTGGTAATGGAAAAGGTTAATAGGTGAAACAGAAGCAGCATAGAGAAAAAGGGAGGTGACAGTGTGTAAACAGTAAAATTTCTGTTCATGGAGGACCAGACTGTGCCTACTAAATAAGGGTATTTTTTTAATAGAAAAAGATTCTCAGTGTCTTTTGTGGAATTCAGATCTCTGCGAAATCTCCGATCTTTCTATTCGCAAAGAGAACTTTTGATTTTAAACATAAGCTCTGTGTATAAATTCCTCCAGATGTACAAAGTACAGTGAATCTAGGAATTTTCATATCCGTATAGGTTTAAGTCTGAAACTCAATGTTAAATACTTTTATTAAAACTCTGATTAATTTCACCCAGACAGCTGGCTAACTGCATGAAGCAATGGATCTGTAAATATTGTTTATATGACATTCCAAATGAAAAAAATGCAAATATCAGAATGTTCAGATTTTGTTTTTTAAATTTTCTTATATTTTTATGTCCTCTTTTCTGCTTCATTTGAGGAAAAGAGAAAACAGTCTTTTGTGGTAAGAAAGGAAGAAATCCTGAGTGACTCTATTGAGCCCAGGTTTTATTCAAATTTACACAAACAGCCTATTTTTCTCGTAAGGTCCTTTGTCTTCAGTGTCACACTTTTCATATGATCTTTTATATGTTGTGGAGCCGTTCGAGTCCTGCAGCCACGGCCGGCCGCTCTTGATTCAGAGCCTGATCTCTTAAACAGTCTTTGTACTTTCTCCCGGGCCGCACTTCACGCATGGAAGAACCTCCGGGTAAAACCCACCAAGCAGCTACGTCATTGTTTTCTTTTGTGTCTCTCCTTAAAACTTTGCTTTGTTATGATTTCTCCGTGACCCTTCAGAGTAACTAGGTAGCTGTTGTACCACTCTCTTATTATGCTAATCATAATTATGGCCCCCGTGCACTCCTCAATTCACTGAGTGAACAGCTTGGCATTTCGCCAGGGTTCAGCTGCCATTTTGTACTGCCAGGAGTCTGACATTTTATCACCTCCTCTGCGACTTGGCTGCCGCTACCTTTCCCTACCGCCTTCACCTCGCAGGGGATCACCTCAAGGGAAGAGCGTGCTCTTTTTTCGCCGCTGCCCCCCGAACGCGAGGGCTCTCCTGGCTCGTTGGAGCTGCCGCCGCGGATCTTTGACGGCGTGACTCGCGAGGGTGTGCGAGAGCTGGAAGTGGAACTGTTGCGTTTCAGGTCCTTGGCAAATGTCTGTCACTTCGAGGATGCGAGGAATGTTATGTGAGAACGACGGAGTAGGGTTGCAGAAGGAGGGTTACGAAAACGGGCATCCATCTTGCAGCATTGCCAGGGCAATTCCATGTGGCCCCAGCTGCAGACCATCCCGGGATCCCTTTTGGTGTTACATCCCATGCTGGGGACACCCGTAACGCAACTTTCTCTGTGGTTTTTGTCTCGTGACTCCATTCCCTGTTCCCGTCAGGGAAGGTAAGAGAGCTGGGACTGCACGTGGCAGCCTGGGATCTGGAAAGACGAAGCTTCCACACCGGGCCCTGTGCGTCCTCACCGCCTGAGCTGAATAATGATAGCTGGGTGTCTAGGGGCCATGAATCGTCAGTATTATCTTATCAACAGCAGCTTCTCCTTTTTATTCAGGGATTCTGTCAAATGCATTATGGTCCCTTCCACAACGACTTTTTTTAATGAAACTATTAATTAAAAACTGACCAGCAACCAGTTCAATGCTTCTGCTGACTGACTTTTTGCTTTCCTGTGGAGAAGTGAAAAGTGTGTATTGCAGAAGCTGGGGTCTTTTGAGTAGAGGAGTATACTGAGTCTTGGTCACAACTGCCTCGCTCTTGTCACCGCTACCCCTGGTTTGTGCTACATATTTCTGTTTTCTCAGCTGATGTGTTCCTACTGTAAACTCTACACAAATACAGACAAGATAAAACTTAGCTTTTGCATTTTATTAAGTTTTATTGCAGGCGTTTTCTGTGTAGATTTCTGCTGTAGATGTGTACATACTTTCTTGCATTAGTGTTGGGAACTTTCCAGAGAACAGTTTTCAGGAGCTTTTTTATATTCCTTCTGTTAATTCCATGGCTCAGGGCAGGTAGAATAGACTTCTTGGATACCTGTGTTGGGTTAGCTTATCCCGCCTTGATAGGCGAGTGATCACAGAGTTAAATGAGCTATATGACCCCAGCTGGTTATATTTTAAAAGAAGAGAGAATATCTATTGTGTTAGATTCCCCTCTTGCGGGGACATTCTCTTAATCTTACAGGTTTTTCCTTTCCCCATAGGCCAGGAAAGATCGAGTTAACTACTGAGTAGCCCACTTGTAACCTGGTTGTCAGACCATTTGTAAAGTCAACAGTTGATACACTCCTTGATCTCCAGAGTGTTATCTGAGAAGTAGAATGAGATGTCAGGTCATTAATTTCTTGGGGTCCTGAAGAAGTCACGTAATTTTTCCATTATCTCCAAAAAAAGTCACCCTTGAACTAGGTGTGGATTTAGAACTATACCTTCCTCTCAGCTGGTTGTATCTGTGGGTCTGTATGGACTAGGAAAGATTGCCAGAATTACTGAAAATCGTACAGTTAATTGCAGAGTTCAAGTTTTGGTTTGGATTTTGAAAAAGATTATTCTTCTCAGTTTGAAGTACAAATAATTGGGGAGAAAACTCTTAGGAAGCTGGCCTGTGTGTTGAGGCCAGTTATCATTAATAAAGAAGCTTAGCTTAGATCAGGGTTGCTGGAACATATTTTACCTAGTTTTATTGGATTTTGTCTTTGTTTTGATGATTTGAAAAAATCACGAAAGGGAGTCATGGATAGCAAGCTCCTGATGAGTTATTTGAGCACTTTTAACCAGTGCCAAGTCTCTTAAAGAAAGCCCAGAAACAATCTTAAGATTTTTGGCCCTTTCTAATTCATTGTGTGGAGAGTGGATTCAAAAACATTGGTCCTTTGTGGGAGGAAGCTCATACCTTTTAAGTTTTGTTAGCTAAGGATAGCTATTAAACACTTCTGCGTAATGTGGGACTAACCTCTCTTTTGAATCAGCTGCAAGAAGAAGTCCAAGAATCCTTGTCACCAGGGAAAGTCAAGGAGAAAGCACAGATTGCTCCAATTACCAAAAAGATGCCTCCCAAGTGACTTGGCTGCTGGATGCCTATTACACCTGCAGAGAAGATGCAGGAATAAACTTTGTGATCTTTCTCCCAAACCTCGTTTAGACAGCAGCCTAGCTAGGAATCACATGAGAAAGTTTTGGGTTGGTTTTTTTTTTCCTAAGTACTTAGGGAGAGATAAAGTTCAGTTTGTATGTGCTGACTCAGAGACGTATACTTAAACTGTTTCTAATCCTGTTGTGCAGTGCCATGGACAGAACTTGTTTATAGACCTGTTTCCTGTGTCCAGCTTTCTTGGCAAAAAGCTGCTGCTTCTTTGCTGTATGCTGCAGAGTGAATAAAAGATGGGAGGTGTATTCAGCCCATACTATAGTCCCTTTCCTCCCTCTTGTTGCAGAGGTCCTTATCCCACGCGATACTAACAGAGGTTTTGCTACCTCCTCAAAATGCAAGAAGTAACCAGAGATTTTTAGCATCACTGT